AAACCTTTGTTTCTTCAGTTATTTCAGATTTCACTTGTCATACCTCTCTGTCTCTAGCCCCTACATATCCTTGAACTGTGTGCTAGTCCCCTCCATTCATGGGCATGTGACCCCTTCCTCCCTCCCACATAGAGGTTTGTAGGGAAGTCCACTTACATGAATTGAGGACTGTCTGTAGTTCACCAAAGAGTCAAGATGGTACAGCTTCCAACAGGTGGCAGCAGGAGCAGCGATGATAGCTGAAGTAGCAGCAGCTCCAATCAGCCCGTGCCAGGGGTCCTCTACTTTAGGCACTGAAGCAGTTCTGGCTGTGGGAACCACCGCACTGCAGAAGGGCAGAGCCAGAAGGCGCTTCTTGAGGAGCCGGAGAGACATCTGCAGAATGGTCCACTTATGTTAAGCAACAACCAGTAATATTTGTGTGTAATGGCAAGATCAGGGATATGAGCCTATCTGTGTGTTAGTGAAGGAGGAGTAGGTCATGGAAAATAAGTAAGTGAAGAACTAAAAGGTTAGGTGTTTGAAGTAGTATTAGTATATATGTTGAAGTCCCCTAGTATGAGGGTAGAGGTTGGAGAGAGGAGAAAGATGTGAGCCTGACACCGAACTCACTGAGGAAAAAATAGTGCCCTGCAGGTCAGTAGACACCAGCTACCAAGAAAAATTGGATGGTAGATGTGGATTGAGTGAACCATAAATGAGTAGAGTTTACTGAGTGTTGGTGGTAGAGGCTGAGCTTGGAAGTAGCAATGAGGAGTAAGAAGTAATTCAACTCCTCCTTCTTGACCATTGAATCAAGGGAAATGAGTGAAAATACAACTAGCAATAGAAAAGTATATGAGAGATCTTCCCTAAACTACCAGTATAATAACTCTGTCAAAGACAGAAACAAGGCTGCTCTGGCATGACCTGTTCTTGCTGAGTCAGTGCTGGCTTTTTTATGATCACTGTTTCCTTTTCTAGATGCTTCTTAGCCATCTCTTTAATAATATGTACTAAACTATGGGCAAAAATGAAATTCAAACTCACTGATCTTTGGTTTGCTATCGTCTTTTTTTGAAAATTTGGGACATTTGTCCTCCTTCAACATCTCTCTCCTTTTCTCATCTTTCAAATATCACTCAGCAATCACATTCAATAGTTGTCAGTACTTGAAGATACAGTTCAGATAAGCCTGTTAAATTTAATTCATTAGAAACAGCTGGGTGTTCTTTTGCTTTCTTAGTGATTTAGGGTATCAAATCCCTAATAATCTTCTGTTTTCTTCTTTCTAGTCCATGGCAGAGAAAACAAAAGCAGAATATCAATGGTGTAGCTTTCCGTGTTCTCTCTTTTTCAGGTATCACCATCCCATCCAGTCCAAACAGTAGTTCTGTCTCTTCTTTGGGCTTCTTTTCCCTGACATTACTTGAAAACATAAAAGCATTGTTGTTGTCCTTAACTTTCTTCACTAACCTTAGCTCATTATGAATGTTAGCACCCCACACTATTCCTTATTTAAAATCTAATGTAATTTTAAAAAAAGTTAGCAAAAATCTATTTTCCCCTTCCACTCACCACCATTGAAAAGAAGGGGAAAAACTTTATTAAAATATGCGTAGTCAAGCAAAACAAATTCACACATTGCCCGTGTCCAAAAAGTATATGCTTCATTCTGTATCCTTCATATATCGCCTTTCTGTGAATATGAATATCACTTTCTATTCCATGAATAGCATTCTGATGCCTTGGAATCATGGTTAGTCTTTGCATTGATCAGAGATTCTCAAGTCTTTCAAAGTTGTCTGTTTTTACAGTGTCGTTGTAGTAGTTGTTCTGTAAATCCTGGTGATGCTCCCTTCGTCTGCAAAATTTTTATTTCCCTTTTTTGTTGATTTTGCCAATCTGATAGATGTGAAATAAAGCCTTAGAGTTTATTTAATTTGCGTTTTCCTAATTATTAGTTATTTAGTACTTAAATAGGAAGCAGGCTGGGAAGGGAGGAAGGGACTAGATTATGAAAACCTATAAATGCCAAACAGAGACCTGAGGGTTTTAGGGAGCTACTGGAACATATGGAGAAAGAGGAGGGGATTTCGTCAGATCTTCTCCAGAAAAAAAAAATCACCTAGGTAGCTGAATGGAGAACAGATTGGAGCAGGGAGAAAGTTAGGGCAGGTAAACCAGTTATAAGACTTTTGCTTCAGTCCAGATGAAAGATGATCAGTGCCTAAACTAGGATTAAGATTGTATGAATAGAGATAAGGAGATTTATACAACATATTGTGAAGATAGAAAAGACAAGATTTGGTAATGCATTGAATGTGTGGTAAAAGTTTGGCATCTGGGATATCAGTCTGGAGGACTGGAAGAATGGCAATGCCCTCAACAGTAATAAGCTAGTTTAAAAGAAGAGAGGATTGGGAGGGAGTGTTTGTGAAGATAAGGAGCTCTGTTTTAGACTTTATGACTCTTAATAGACCTACTAGAAAATTCTTTTTCTACAAGTTAGTGTTTTTAGGTAGTGGGAGATGTGTGACCAGCTCAGCAAGGAAGCTTCTGAGGATCATTTGCATAAAGATGATCGTTGAATCAATGGAAGCTGATGAGGTAACCAAGTGAGATAGTATTGAGTAAGAAAAGGAGGCATAGGACCAGGTTTGGGGGGATACTTATAGTTAGTGGGCATGCCACTTCAGCAGTGATAAAATGCCACTTGTACCCATGAGGTTTCTCGTCCCAGACTTTGTAATGTTTGGCAATGCTTTGTAGTTTATTTCTCATGGCATCATTTGTGTCCATTTGTTGCACCAGAATTGGGTAATCTGACAATCCATTTTAACAAGTCCATGGAGGTTTTGTGTCACATTTTGGAAACATGTCAAGAAGACAGCAGACCTCTCAGCTGATACTATGTCAGCAAAAAATTCTTCCAAAAAACAAAAACAGCAGGAAACCACAGATCACTCTTCTTCTGTTCTTACTCTAACCCTTACTGGAGGTTCTCTCATTCAATAGCACCTGTCAGTCAACTTTAAGATTCCTTGAAGGTCAAGCAGCTGCTTCTTCCTTATGTCATCCAGCACTCCTCTTAAGGAAGAACTTATTTTTGGCTGTTATCTAGAAGTGTTCAATGGTCCTCCTTTTGTGTGACATTATTTCACCCTTCAGCTTATTAACTTCTCAGAATTTACCTCTGCCTCTTTGAATCCTTTCTTTTTTTGTTTTCATGCCAAAGCTCTTCTCTATGTTTAAGGAACACTTCATTTTCACAGATAATCTGGAGTGTAAAAAGGCATTTCTTCTGCTCCTTTACCTTCTCTTCCAGGAGAAAAAGAAGCCTCACTCAACCTAGATATCAGTCATATGACCATAGCAAATACACAAATATTGCGCTCATTGCAGAATTCCTTGTATTCTGCAAACTTAATGGAAATGAGATCCACAGTTCTTGCCTTTCTTGTTAGGATCTCTTTTATAAAATAGCCATGGTAAACTGCTTTTGAAATATTAAAACTATAACAACTCATTAACAGCCTCTTGAGCATTTCTTTAGCATCTCTTAACATCTTAATCGGCAAATTCCAACTTTCTTTTCCTTCTTTTACTGAAATTTCACTTGTCTTCTAATTTATTTTACATGCTTTGTCCAGTTATTTTGTCCTTGAAGTCTTTCTTCTATTTGTCTTTCTCTTCCTTTCTCTCTTTGCTTGAGTCCTTCTTTTGCCACTGTGTCTTGTGCTTTTCACTTTCTCCTCCAAGTCCTCTTTGATCTTTCTCCTATTTTAGATTGAGGCCTTTTCTTTTAGGTGTAGCTCTTCTCAGGTCTTTTTCCTTGACTCTCCTTTTCCCACCCCACTCCCATTAAATTGAGTCCTTTACCTTAAAGCTTTAAACTTTTCCAGTCCTCCCACATATCTCTTCCACAGATTTAATTTCGAGCCTTTAAACTCAACTTTATAATTCCTTATCACAGTTTTTATGCCCTTAGCTCCTTTTCCTTCTCCTGTCCTTTCTTCAACACAGTCTTGTCTTCAGGAAGACTAAAGTAACTTTTTTGTTAAATTGTATTGTATTCCAGTGTAACCTGTGATGATCTATTATGCATTGGGCAGTTGAGAAAAGCAAGGGAAGCAAACCTGACACATTTAAGAACAACCCTTTGATTTTATTGAAACATATTTTGTTTTGTTTGCATAAGGAAAATTTATTATATCAATTAAAAATAGCTTCCAAAATAAATTCTGTAATGGGAACTTCTGTTGATTGTGAGGTGGCAGTTGTGAGGTGACTTTTTAGCTGCTGTAATTAGCCTTATGACAGAGGCAAAGTATTGATTGTGAATAGAGGATAGAGCAGAAACTTACAGTTTGCCAGCACACAACAAAAAGAATAATCTGCAGAGTCTTCTTATGTAATCTTATGGCAAATGAAGCCTTCTACAGAAAGTTAAATGATCCAGTTTAGTCAGAGGAAGCTTATCATATACAAAAACAATGGTCATATAGCAAGGTTTATAGATGCATGGATGGATCATCCAATTTATAGAATGGATTCTACAGGACCACAAATAGCTAACTAGTAGACTGAAAACCTTGAGCCAATGATCCATATAGTTACTCAAGAAAAAATGGAAAATGAGAATAAGCTAATCAACTCATTACTGTCAGGCAATAACATATGTTATGTAATATTTTAAAGGTCTGGTATAAGTTCAGTTCTATGGTATGGATGGGCAAAAAATAAATTCTACTCAGGAAAATAAAACTACATATCTTTTAGTTTGACAATTATACTAAGTTAATTGAGAAAACTTTCTTCCTAATTATAAAGTAATTATCTTTCAAATCTTTATCAAAATTGATTTCACAATTTTCAGTTAGCTTATTAAGAGTATATTACTTTTTCCAAAATGAAACATATACTCTAAAATAAATGGAAATATAGAAACGATTTTTATTTTGTTTGAGATGTGCTTCTTGTATTTTTAAATTTTTTTAATGATTTTTATTATACTCCAGAGTTATTGAACTAACAGGAGATGTGACTCCTGATATGAAATCCATTGCCCAAGCTGACCTTATTGTCACTACACCAGAAAAGTGGGATGGAATCAGCAGAAGCTGGCAGAACAGGAGCTATGTTAAAAAAGTCGCCATTCTCATTATAGATGAGATCCATCTGCTAGGTGAGTGCCGTTTGATATAAAGCTGATTTAGAAACCTTCACTTTCATGCATAGAACTGTCAGGGTCAGACCTTGTTAAATGATTAATGCACATTCCTCTTATTTCCTAGGGGATGAGAGAGGCCCAGTTCTAGAGGTTATTGTATCTCGCACTAACTTCATCTCTTCTCACACGGAAAAGCCTGTTAGAGTAGTTGGTTTGTCTACTGCATTAGCTAATGCCAGAGACCTTGCTGACTGGCTCAGTATTAATCAGGTATGTGAAATACTTGCAAGTACGACATCTAACAGCTTGAGTTCTCAGAGGAGTTGACATAGAAGTAGCGCCATGACATTATAAACCTTAGCGTAAGAAAAAGTAACATTTTTCTTCACATTTACTTTAGATGGGGTTGTTCAACTTCAGACCATCAGTTCGTCCAGTTCCCCTGGAAGTTCATATTCATGGTTTCCCGGGTCAACATTACTGTCCTCGTATGGCTAGTATGAATAAACCTGCATTTCAAGGTAAGCTGCAAGTATTTGGAAAGAGATATAACCAATTTAAATAGTAGACTTCAGGACATTTTCATACTGTGTGGGTTTCCTTGAAGTGGGAGGGGAACTGCTTAAGCTTCTGCAAATGTTACAGTCATTTGCCTAAACTGATCAGGAATACAGACGTGTAGAATTGATTAACTATTAAAATTAGAGAGCTTTCATAAATGATAATGTTCTTGCTGTTAACCATACATTAAAATAATATCTACAAAAAATATTTGTAATTTTAAAAAATAATAAAAATAGTTTGGAGTGTTAATCTATCAAGATGTTTTCAGATATTGCTTATTAGCCTTACAAAATGATGAGCAGAAGTTACGAGTCAAGCAAACATTGCATAATTATGGTTTCAAAACAGTACCGTAAAATTTAGAATTTTTAGGACTTCAAACATGCCACTAGTTTCTTTTTCCTTTTCTTAGCAAGGGAAGCAAACCTGACACATTTAAGAACAACCCTCTGATTTTATTGAAACACGTTTTGTTTTGTTTGCATAAGGAATATTTATTATATCAATTAAAAATAGCTTCCAAAATAAATTCTGTAATGGGAACTTCTGTTGATTGTGAGGTGACTTTTTAGCTGCTGTAATTAGCCTTATGACAGAGGCAAAGTACTGATTGTGAACTAGAGACCAATCTTGGCAGTTCAGATTATTTACACCTCTGCAGAAGCATTGTACAAAATCACTAATGAACGATAAATTTACCCTGAGCTGTTCAGCCACACCTGTTCTTGTCACAGGAAAAATCCATTAGATGTTGAATTTATAAGAGAGAGAGAGAAATGCAATCATGATTGTGTACAAATTGCATATATTTTTCTCATGCACATGCGATTTAAGATATTGTGACTATGGTGTTATTTGCCAAAATCTTACCATTTATAGTCTGTAGTGTATTAATACACAGTATTAAATACTGAACAGGGGAATGAATACATTTTCTTTTTATAATTTATTAGTCTGATTGGTTATGGATCTCTAAAGGATGTCTGCAGAACAATAATTGGAGAGAAGTATTCCATGTAATATAAATCATTTGTAAATATCTGAAATATTTATACTGTGCTAGAGGTGGTTTCTGCATAGCAGTTAGACTTATAAACTGTTTATTATACCTGTAGTGGGTCACTGTATTTCATTAAGTCTAGAAATATGATTTTATGATGGCTTTATTTCTTGTGGGTTTCATATAAATATAGTCAAGGTCATGTCAGCATTTTCATTGTAAACCTTATTTCTTAGCTCATAAAAAAAAAAATCTGCAGCCTACCATGTTTCAAACAAGAAAAAGACTCACTTTCTTTTTTGTATATTTAGAAAAATGACTCACTATTCTAAGAAAGCTACACAGGACATAAAAATAATTCTTGTTTATGCCCTTTTAGTAAGATTTTGAAGCACACACAGGGGTAGGGAAAATCATTTCCAGTTTGGGTAAATGATTTAATCATTCTTGAGAGTAAATTTTAAATGTGTTTAGACCTACAAAATTTTCATAGGTCTTAGCTAAATGACACAAGTATCCACCTCATTCTTTGTCGTTCTATACGTAAGCCCTCATGACACAGTCTCACTCAAATTCAGGGTCATGCACATTCATTCTTCTTAAAAATTCACCCTTATACACACTTTCTCACAAAAACATTGACACATTCTCCAGTATACATCTGTTGTTTCTTCCCCGTGCTATACTTTGTGTATGGGACAGGGCATTTTGAAAAGGAACATTTAATAGCACCTTTTCAGTGTCTGCCCTTATGTCCTGTAAGGATCTACCAGATCACACCGCACAGCCTTAATTCTATCCATCCTACAATCCAAGTGCCTCTAACATATGACAGATCTCTCAGGCCAGGAACTGAAACCATAGCAATAGAATGGATTCCCTAGCACAATTCTGTGGACAGACTCTGTAACTTTTTCCCCCTTCCCTTTATATCTTAAAATTAAAACTTGGGCTTGGAGTAAGAACAGTTGCCTAGTTCCCTTCCTAGTCTCGATCATCCACAAATATAAGGAATGTGCCTCCTATAGATAGAAAGCCCCTCCCTTAAACCACAACTGTATGAAAATCATGGAGAATTTCAGCACTTCCAGTTTCTACCCAGCCTTTATTTGAGAAGCAGAGCATGTAATGAGAAGACAAAGCTGGAGACTCTAATCACATTGAAACCAAAGAGTAATGTAGGTTCAGTTTGATGTAATTTCCATGTGTTCTCAGGTATAAAGCTAAATTTCATTAGAAAAAAACAAACACTGGACTAGGAGGTGAGGGCCCTCATTCTCATTCTTCCACTGTCAGCTCTTTAATCTTGTGCAGATATGTCACTTCTCTAGACCTCAGTTTCTACACATGTAAAATGATGAGACTTGACTTAATCCCTTCCATAACTAATGCTCAGTGAATTTTACTTTTAAAGTTGTAAATGTTCATTGATTTGAACACACTTGAATATGATAATATTACTGTCAGTGTACTTTCATGAATTTTATGTGATGAAATGCATATTCTGACATAGTTTACTTTAAATATAATGGAAGTTATCCATAGAAATTGTCATAGAAAAATTGTGAGTTTTTTCCATGACTTTTCAACAGCAATTAGAAGCCATTCACCAGCCAAACCTGTTCTGATATTTGTGTCATCCCGACGTCAAACTCGTCTTACAGCATTGGAATTGATAGCTTTTCTGGCTACTGAAGATGATCCTAAACAGTGGTTGAACATGGATGAAAGAGAGGTAGAGAATTTATTCTTCTGTTCCTTATATATGTCATTTTTTTCATCTGATTTTAGTTACTTGTCCGTTTTCAAAATTGACTAAAACAGATGTTTACTATTTCATTTCAATGGATTTGAATTGTGCTTATTTAAGTAGTTCTTTTGTCATAAGTTAATAAGAAATAGACATAATTAATCTCAGTGGCAAAAGTGGGTTTCTTTTCATCTTTTTGCATAGACTTGAAATAAATCCATTGCTATATAGTATATGGGAGGTTTGCTATTCACCCAATAAAATGTAAGCCTTTTGAGGTCAGGGACTATAATCTTTTGTCTTTGTATTCTTGGTGCCTGCCAGTCATCAGTCAACAAGTTTTTATTAAGCATCCACTATGTGCCAATAAATGGTGTTGAAATCAATTTAGTGTTAGATTCTAGAAGGTACATATAATAGAATTATAAGAAGTCTCTAAAGAATCTATGATTTCATCAACAGGGGAAATTTATTCCATCAGCACAGATCCCAGATCACAACCTCCTCTGTAACTGTGCAGTTCCTTAGCAATTGTATATTGAGGCACTTGGAGGTTAAGTGGTTTGTAAGATCATGCTCTTGGCATACCCTGTAGAGGCTAATTCATTCTTATGAAAAACTTTGCTTATTCCTAAAGCATTAGCAAAGGTAAAAATAAAGGAAAACCTATGACAAATTCATGAATTATCTTGCTTTACTGAAATACTCTTTTATTCTATCTACTAATCATCAAGTATACATAAGGTACTATATGAGGCATGTTGAAGAAGAGGAATACAAAGATAAACCAGTCTGGATTTTATATTTTGATTTTATCAGTGTAGAAAAATAACTGTAGACAAAGTTTTCTTTTAATATAAACATTTTTTATCAGCCATTATATGCTGAACCCTGTTCTAGATGCTAATGTGGATAAAAGATTAAATAAATTGTGGTTCCTGACCTCAAACGTTTTTTTTACTTTAGTAAGGGAATGTGACACACAATAACTGTAACACAAAATTAACCATGAAAAGTTCATGAGAAGTGCAAAATGCTGCGGAAGATACAAGTTTGGAAATATATAATGTTTATCTGTATTCATGAATCACATATGGATGTTGGTTAAATCATTTAAACTCTTTGGGCCTCTGTTTTCTCATTTGCAAAGTGAGGTCATTGATAAAGATAATTTCTGAGTTCTCTTTTAACTCTAGAATTCTATATTTCTGTGATATAGAAACAATTGTATACTACTACAGGAAACCTAGAGGGTCACTTTAAATTTTAGAAAGAAATATTGAGATTTTTAAGGCCAGATTTTTCTCAATAGGTATAATCTTATAGCAATGAATACAATAGCTATTTAATTTTTTCCCTCCCCTTTTAAATACACTATTCTTCACATTATTTTCCATATAGCAAATTTGCTTGAATTGTCAGAATCAGAAATGTTCTTGAGAAAGTCTTCCAACTTTTTTGTGTGTATATGTATTTATACACCTACAAATGGACACTGATATAGTGTGTATATTATAAAGCACAAATACAGAATTAAAAGGATGTGTTATTAACAAAGGTAAAATTGACAGGACTTGGCCACTAGCTTGATGTGGGGGATGAGAGAAAGTGAGGAATTGAAGATAACAATTCCAAACCTGTGTGGCTAGTGGATGGTGGTTCCCTCAAAAGTAATAGGGGCATGAGGAAGAGGAGAGGATTTTAGGGGAAAAAATAATGGTTTTGGTTTTGAATATATTGAAATTAAGATGTCTATGGGACATGCAATTCAAGATATCCAATAGGTAGTTGGAGATGTGAGACCTGGAAGTCAGGAGGGATGTTAGAGCTAGGCAAATAATTCTGAGAATCATCTATATGGAGATGATAGCTGAATCCATGGGATCTGATGAGATCACCTAGTGAAGAAAGAAAAAGATGTCCCAAGACAGAGCCTTGTGAGTTACCTACAGTTAATGGAAGTGGCTTGCATGAAGGTCCAGCAAAGGAAACTGAGAAGGAACAGTTAAAAAGGTAGGACATTTACTAACTGCATGACCCTGGGCAAGTCACTTAACCCCAATTGTATTAAAAAAAAAAAGGTAGAAGGATAACATGGAGAGAGCAGTGCTATGAAAATCTAGACAAAAGAAAGTATCAAAAGAAGAGGATGATCTACACTATCAGAGACTATAGAGAGTTCAAGAAGGCTAAGGATTAAGAAAAGGCCATTAAATTTAGCAGTTAAGAGAATATTGGTATTTTAGGAGAGAGCAATTTCAACTGAATGATGAAGTTGGAAATCATGCTGCAATGTGTTAAGTAAAGAGTGAAAAGAAAGGAAACTGATTGTAGGTGGCCTCTAGGAGTTTACCTAAAAAAAAGAGAGAATACATATAGAATGATAGTTAGCAGTAATAGAAGGATCAAGTGAGAGTTTTTTGAGAATGAGGATGACATGGGCATGTTTGTAGGGAGGCAGCCAGTAGAGAGAGAGACATTAGAGATAAATGAGAGTGGGGACAATAAAGAGGATAATCTGCTGAAAAAGATGGGAATGGGATGTCTTGTGCATATAGAGGGGTTGGCCTTGACCAGGAGAAGGGCCATTTCTTCATGTGAGATAGAGTGGAAGGCAGTAGGGAGGAGGGAAATGGCATATTGTGAGGTGAGATGAGCAGGAGAGAAGAGAATGCTCATGGAGAATGACCTAAGTTCTTTTAATGAAATATTAGCAAAGGTTCTCATCTGAGGTTGAAGGCACTGTAGGTTTGAGGAGGGATGGAAAGATTGAGAAAGACCTCTGTGTTGAGCTGTGATAGTGAATCAGTTAAGGAGATGTAAAAGAATTGTTTTGCCATAGTGAGGGCCAGGTTAAGGTTATGTACCATAAATTTGTAGTGGATCCATTTGGTATGATTTCATTATTTTCTCCACCTTTATTCAGCAGCAGATTAATAGGGAGCAGATCATGTGAGTAATCCAGTGATGAAACTTGGCAGAACAAAATCTTAAGCAGGATAAAGGGATGAGGATTATATAGACATGAACTGGTTTATCAGAGGGTCAGGATAGAAAAGGGAGGTGAGTGTAGCCAGTAAAGGGTGATAAACTGGGATGCAGTGAGAGATGGAGTGATTAGAGGTCACAGTACAGAGAAAGAACAAGACTTGGGAGTTACAAGCAGAGAGAGAAGTGAAATAACAACAGAGAGAATTTCAGAGTTTATAAATATCATAGTGATGGCAAGATCAAGGGTATGACCATCGCTGTGTAGCTAAGATGGGATAGAAGAGTAGGTTCAGGTCTTTTATCATCTCATGCCTGGACTATTTCTTTTTTTTTTTAAGTATTTTATTTTTCCCCAGTTACATTCATTTTTAAAACTTTGAGTTCCAAATTCTCTCTCTTCCACCCTTCCCACCCCCACCTCATTGAGTACGCAAGCAATTCGATATAGGTTATACATGTGTAATCATTCATAACACTTCCATAATAGTCATGTTGTGAAAGTATTTCCCTCCATCCTATTCTTCTCCCCCACATTTATTCTATTCTGTCTTTCTCCTTTCACCCTGTCCCTCCCCCATTCTGCCTTCCCTTCTACTGCCCTCTTTCCCTTCTCTTATCCCCTTTCCCTCCTACTTTCCTGTAAGGTAAGATGGATTTCTATACCCAATTGAATGTATGTGTTATTCCGGAATACTCTTTTAGCCAGTTCTGGTGAGAGTAAGCTTCACTCACTTCCCATCACCTCCCCCTTCTTCCCTTCCACTGTAAAATCTTTTTCTTGCCTCTTTTATGTGAGATAATTTATCCCATTCTACCTCTCCCTTTCTCTTTCTCTCAGTATATTCCACTCTCCTTAATTTTTTTTTTTTTAGGTATCATCCCTTCATATTCAACTGACACCTATGCCCTCTGTCTATATATGCTACTTCTAACTATCCTAATAATAAGAAAAGTCTTATGAGTTACAAATATCATCTTTCCATGTAGGAATGTAAACAGTTTAACCTTAATAAGTTACTTATGATTTCTCTTTCCTGTTTACCATTTCATACTTCTCTTGAGTCTTTTATTTAATTGGAAGTCAGATTTTCTATTTAGCTCTGGTCTTTTCTCAAGAATGCTTGAAATTCTTCTATCTCATTGAATATCCATTTTTTCCCCTCATGGATTATATTCAGATATGCTGGGTAGGTGATTCTTGGTTGTAATCCTAACTCCTTAGCCCTTCAGAATATCATATTCCAAGCCCTCCTACCTTTAATGTAGAAGCTGCTAAATCTTGTGCTATCCTGGTTGTGGCTCCATGATACTTAAAATGTTTCTTTTTGGCTGCTTGCAATATTTTCTCCTTGACCTGGGAACTCTGGAATTTAGCTATAATATTCCTGGCATTTTTCATTTTGGGATCTTGTTCAGGAGGTGATTGGTGGATTCTTTCCATTTCTATTTTACCTTCTGGTTCTAGAATATCAGGGCAGTTGTCCTTGATAATTTCTTGAAAGATTATATCTAAGCCCTTTTTTTGACCATGGCTTTCAATAATTTTTAAAATTATCTCACCTGGACCTATTTTCCAGGGTAGTTGTTTTTTCAGTGAAATATTTCACATTGTCTTCTATTTTTTCATTCTTTTGGTTTTGTTTTATGATTTCTTGATTTCTCATAAAGTCAAAAGCTTCCATTTGCTCCATTCTAATTTTTAAGGAATTGTTTTCTTCAGTGAGCTTTTGGACCTCCTTTTCCATTTGGCCAATTCTGCTTTTTAAGGCATTCTTCTCCTCCCTGGCTTTTTGGACCTCTTTGGCCATTTGAGTGAGTCTATTTTTTTAAGGTGTTATTTTCTTCAGTATATTTTTGGGTCTCATTTACCAAACTGTTGACTCATTTTTCATGATTTTCTTGTATAACTCTAATTTATCTTCCCAATTTTTCCTCTACTTCTTTTACTTGATTTTCAGAATCCCTTTTGAGCTCTTCCATGGCCTCATAAATTG